GGGGGGGGGGGGAGGAGGGAGCAGAAAAGCTGGTATGGTAAAGCAATTCTGTCTAACAAACTGCTGTTCTACTAATAATTGACAGGAAGAGAACCGCTCCCAAAGTTAATTTTAGCAGGAGGCAGTTGATCAAATAGTGGACTCTACAGAATAATCACACTGATTGTTGAGTGGGAGATGATTGTGGTCTAGTGACTTACTCTGTAAATAAAAAACTTACCTTAAAAATAGAGATGAAAAAGATGGACAAATAGCATAATTTATAAAATCATCCTATCAAAATCCATCACCATAAAGTTATTAGGTATGATCTGTACAATAATTGTTTTTTATGTTCCATTTCATAATCATGGTTCCTTGAACTTATGAAATACATCTCACGCTTTTTATATTCAAAGGCCAGTTTTTCAAAGTTAGAAGGGTGCATTTACTTGTATATATTTGCATGTGCCTACCATATATGCATATATTTGATGAGTTAGTATATTCGGGCATTTGTGTGTGCCAGTTACTGTCTTAAATGGCTAAGTTTGCATAGACAACATTTATTTGCATACATTGAGTATTTACATGCATAAATGAGATGTGCAAATGTATCTATACAACTGTGCAAGCTTTACTTGGAAAATATAATCACCAGTTATACCAGTCCATTAAATATCTCTAAATGGAGATCAGTATTTCCAATGCATGAACTGTGGAAGCGTTTGGTCACATAGGGGACGTATTCTCAGTTGATGTAAATCACAATTCTACTGAAGTCATTAGCTGTGCATTGGGCCTTTATCTATCTTTATTTTCATCCAGCTCCAGTAGCTACTTCATTTTACCTCTTAACTAAACAATTTAGTACTTTAATAACAGGTCTAAAATACATTTCTGATTCAATAAACAACAAGAAAGTAAGATTATTAAAACAGAAGTTGAGGAGACAACTGGTAAATAACATATTCTGGAGAAAGTCAGATCAAAGTTAATTTAAATCACATAAAGAAGGAAGAAAATGTTCCATTAACTGTTTTACATAAAACAGTATATTGAATCTTGATTTTTGTGACACTGTGTGTAGCAAGTAAGCACCTGAAATCTAGTCTGGTTGGAAAATATCCTTGGTGATAAATGGCAGCTGTTCCCAAAATTCTGTTAATGTCTTTTGATTTTAAAATAAAACCATCATTTGTTCTAAAAAATTTGAGGACAGTGCCTTATAGGTTAGAATTTTAGAAAGATTTTAAAATATTCTCATGCTAAATTTGAATTTACTGTAGATATTTCATTTTTGAATTGTAAGTGTAGTATTCAGTTTCTTTTTGTAATGATCAAACTTTATCCAAAAAGGATAGTGGAATTACACAGTGTTTAATTTGACATGGAATAATTACAGGCAACTACAATAATTATAGGCAACATCTTGGCTACAATACCACCAACTCAATATCAAATGCGTGAATCTGTGTTTAGACAGGTTTCCATGCAGAAGATAGGGGTATACAGGCAGTCCCCGGGTTATGTACAATATAGGGACTGTAGGTTTCTTCTTAAGTTGAATCTGTATGTAAGTCGGAACTGGCGTCCAGATTCAGCCGCTGCTGAAAATGACTAGCGGCT